GTCATCCAGGTCACGGCTGTCCCAAATGTGCTTTTTCAGGAGGCAACTGGACTTCCTTGTTTTTCTTTGAAGACGTTTCGCTTCTCATCCAAGAAGCTTCTTCAGCTCATTCCCCATCATCCGGTCAGAGCTGAAGAAGCTTCTTGGATGACAAGTGAAACATCTTCAAAGAAAAACAATGAAGTCCAGTTGCCTCCTGAAAAACTACATTTGGGATTCTCCTCACAAATAATAACAAATATTCTCCTCAATCTGCCACCCCAGGAACTTTTGAATTCTCTGCAGGATCAGCTTAGCTTTTGTATTGCCTTCAAAGTATAGTTTTGTGCAGGTTCTTATCTTTTCTGCTAGAGGCACAGCTGCATATCCTCCCTAGTTCATAAAATAGTGAAGGATACAGTCAAGTGTTGGTAAGGAGTGCTTAGCAACAAAAGATGTTTGAGCTAAATCTTTTTGTTGTTAGTTTAGGTGCCGTTCCTATCCAGAGAGACTGTGGGTAGCTTACATTCTTTTCCTTTAACAAGAAAATTTAAATAGGAAAAAATATCATAAAAGAACAACCATCTAAATAAAAGTCAAACTACAAAGAAAACCATGGCGACTGAAGAACAATAAACATCCAAACGCCCAACCAATGTGGGGCTTCAAAAATCTAAGTTTTTATAGCTATCTTAAAACTCAGCAGGGTAACATTGTTCTTCTGCAATAAAGACTGCAGTAAATGTGATGTAGACACAGAAAGTACACAATAATTCTAGTAGTCTGGAAAATCAATTTGTTCGGCCAGATCTTTGCAAGAGAAGAAATGGTAACTTTCAGTATCTATCACCATATGATTTTAAACTGATCAAATTTATCACACATTAGCCCAAATTCACCCTACACTTTATAATATGGCTTATCTATATCCTATTTCTTTTCTGTTAAAAGATGGAAGTGATGTTAAATATTGACATCTTGCCGTATTTGTCATGTCTCCGGACTGACTTCCTCTCAGAAGAACATCATTAGTCCTCTGGGTGTAGGAAAAGAAGAGGCTGAGCTGGAAGGCAGCATTAAAAGTGTCATAATTTGGACTCATTGCATTGTCATAAAAGATCTAAGTTGCCACCAGTGAATTCAGTTGACCCTTAATCTAGTGCCAATTTAGCTTTGACCATTAGTTGACTAGATTCTTGTATTAGAGGCAGTAATAATAAACTTTTCTGGGCTTTGAAATCAATAAATGTTTCTGGTTTGTCTCATACTGAGGAAGAATAAAAGCAACAAATTACTAAAGTAATAAAGTGAAGTCTTATTCCTTTAAAGCAAATCCTTCAAGTTCCAGAGAGCTGCATAATTCTTGTCTACATGCCTCTGAGGATCACCCAGAAACTGCATTCAGTACAAAATATAGTGGCCTAGATACTGGCAGATCTGATCTGCTAAGATCACGTTAAGTTAAGATAATGACCATTTTTTACTGAGAGCACACTGTGGGCACAACATTAAAAATGAATTCTGTTGCCTGCTCTCAAAGGAAAGTATATATCTACTCATACACATACATATACACATGCTATATACATACATACAGGGCTTTTTTTTGTCATAGAACACCCAGAATGGAGTTCCGGCACCTTTTTTGGATGGAACCTTGTAGGGTAGGCAAGGCGGGTTGTATGACATGTGTGAGTTCCGGCACCTTTTTTTTTTTAACAAAAAAAAGCACTGCATACTTAGATATACCTACACCCATACTTATATATACATTATAAATATTAATCACAGTCCATTTTGAATACATAGTGGAAAAAGTTCGCAAGGTGGATGCTGTATGGAACAAAACTGTGACTGAATCTGGATGTTCTGTTTCAGATACCACGAAGCCTCTTCCCAGAAGGTAACAAGGAAAACAGGTCATGAAGAGGATGTGTAGTGTCCCAACATCTATGGACCTTGCTAAAGCATCACTTATAAGCTATGTCTGGATAGAAGGAACTACCAGTAATCTTTTCTGCCATCCTCACCACTCTCTGCATTGCCTTCCTGTATGAAACTGTAATGCTTCCAAACCAGACAGTAATGCAGTATGACAGGATGCTCTCAATTGTCCCTCTATAGAAAGTAGTAAGGACAGGGGAAGGAAGATGTACTTTTCTCATGCGACACAGAAAATGCAGGCGCTGCTGTGCCTGTTTACTAGTATTTTACTGTTGAGCGACCAAGCTAGCCTATTCTTTAGCTGCACACCCAGAAACTTGATGCTGCTAACCACCTCCCCAGGTAGTAATAGTAATAGTAGTAAAGTTGGAAGGGACCTTGGAGGTCATCTAGTCCAACCCCCTGCTCAGGCAGGAAACCCTACACCATTTCGGACAAATGGCTGTCCAGTCTCTTCTTAAAAACTTCCAGTGTTGGAGCATTTACTGCTTCTGGAGGCAGGCTGTTCCACTGATTAATTGTTCTCACTGTCAGGAATTTTCTCCTTAGTTCTAGGTTGCTTCTCTCCTTGATTAGTTTCCATCCGTTGCTTCTTCTCCTGCCTTCAGGTGCTTTGGGAAATAGCTTAATTCCCTCTTCTTTGTGGCAGCCCCTGAGATATTGGAATACTGCTATCATGTCCCCCCTTGTCCTTCTCTGTGTGGCTGTGCCTGCCTTTTCTGAAATCAACTATGATCTCTTTATGTTTTCTTACATTTAAAACCAGGCTGTTTTTGTTATACCAGTTCACCAAACCCTCTACTTTCTTGCAGTAAGCACCCTCATTGTTATCTTGAATAAGGCCCGTTACTGTTGTATAATCCGCATATTTAACAATATGGTTGGTGGCAAACCTAGCACAACATTCATGGATCAACAGGATGAACAACAGCCAACTTAGGACACAGCCCTGAGGAGAAACTGTGCTCAAGAAAATGTTAGAAATATTAGTCCCAACTCGCACGTACTGGGGCCCATCAATAAGAAAATAAAGAATCCAGTTGCACAAAGGAGTATAAAAGCCTAAAAGGCCCAGTTTGTCTACTAGATGCTGAGGAATGATTGTACTAAATGCCGAACTGAAGTAGACTAACAGCATTTGCACAGTAGTGTTTCTTTCCATTAAGTGCACCAAGCTCAGATGGAGAAGAGAAGAAATAGCATCCTCTGTAGACCGATTTGGACGGTAAGCAAACTGAAGCGAGTCAAATGCTGAAGGGAGGCTGGATACAATAATGTCCTTCATCAGCCTCTCAAAACATTTCATAATGATGGATGTAAGTGCAACTGGATGATAATGATTGAGACCTGTAATTGTAGACTTTTTTGGCACTGGCAAAATAATGGCCATCTTAAAACACGATGGGACCACTGCCTGCTGCAGTGAAAGACTGAAAATATCTGTAAGAACACAAACCAACTCATCTCACATTTCCTAAGAACAGGCCTAGGGATATTATCTGCGCCTGCTGCTTTTCGAATGTTAACTTTCCGCAATATTTTCCAGACAAAGGTAACATCAAAGCTAAGCACTTGCTCATCAGGATGGGGCAGAGTTTTCCTATAAGAGGTGCTATTTCATACCTTGAATCTTCCCAAAAACATGTTCAGCTCATTTAAAAAGTCTGTGTCACCCTTACCACACAATGGAGCCACCTTATAGTCTGCAGTAGCCTGGATGCCTTGCCACCTATGCCTGAAAAAGCTGTCTGAAATTGTCTGAACTTTCTGACAATGGGTTTGTTTTGTTTGCTCTTTTTATGGCACTTTTCAAATTGGCTCTGATTGTTTTGAGTACCTGCATATTGCCGGGTTTAATAGCCACATTCCACACTTTCAAAATCTTGCGAACCTCATATGTCATCCATGGTTTTTCATTAGCCCTCACAACAATGTTTTTAAGGACACTGACATTCTCAATGCACTTTTGAATATTTGCAGACACAGTGGTGGCATACTCCTCCACATTTATATGTTGGTTATCTATTGCCACTTCTTTCAACATGCCCCAATCCGTGCATTCAAAGCAATCTTGTAGTTCTTCTATAGCTCCCTCCGTAGTATTATATCTATATTACAAGCCCTATCCCATTTACAGATAGGCTTCTGCACCTTCTTTCACATACACACGCGCACACACACACACACACACACACACACACACACGTTAATTATAGCTTTTGGTCACGCCTCACCTTCTACTAGTTTAGCATAATAAAATCAAACACATTTTTAAAGTATAGCTCCCTCAGGTCAATCAATGATTTTTGATCAGTGGAAGATTCAAGACAGAAGGAAGCATACTGTTGATGCAGAAGAATCAAAGTTTGACAAAATAGACAGGAATACTTTTTTACAAAATGCAGAATAATGGAATATGTTTTCTTCAGATGTAGCAAAAGCCACTTGTTTAAATGGTACAGTTTCCTCCATCCATATCATGGAGAGCTTGCTACTTCTTTTTGCTATGTCAACCTGTTTACAGATTTCTGAAACCTTTTACATGGCTACATACATGCTTCTGGCTTCACCAATGCAGTTTTTCTTTTGTGTACAAAAGCCTTCATGAGTTATGAGTGCTGGTGAAGTCTATGTGATATGCACAGTCTCTCAACCACTGACATTTATTGAGACAGGAAATGCACCTGTCTAAATACAGCTTTCAAATGCAGATGCAGAAAAGGAAAACTAGGTTGGAAGAAACTCAGTGGGAAGTTGTAAGAATAAAATGAGTAAAGAGAGAATGAAGAGCATAATACAAGAAAGATTGTTCATTTGAAGAAAACAGCAAATCTTAAAGGCAGACAAAGATCAAGTAAACTGATTAATACAATACCAAGTATTAAATCTATTAAGGTTCCAAAAAAGTTCTGCTGGGAATTGAACTGAATGACTTTATAGTTATATGATTTAATAGAAGAATTACAATTACAATTACATCTTCAGACAAGTTATCAACCAATAAGGAATTTTGCACATTTCAGAAATATATACAGCAAATGCTGAAATTTCACTTTTGTTTTTAAAAACATACTTACATTATTCTTCTGGCAAATAATTTCCTGTGAAGGGGGGAAAAAACAGATAAGAGAACTACCCATGAACAATGTATGCATCTACTTACTGTATACTTAACAAAAAATACACTTACTTTTGTTTGCTCTGGGAATTTTAGATTTTCTTCACAAAAATCTGTTGCTTGGCATAAAAACAAATTGCTGATAGGTGCTACATTATATTAGCATTATATTAGTTGCTGAATGAAAGGGCTTTAAGTATGACTAAAATTTCTCATGTTATTAAGTCAAAAGGTTTTGGCCCTGGAAGTTAAACAGATGAAGCTTTTCTTGGAATGGGCATAAGCGAATAAGAAAAGCTTCATGAGTTAAGTTTAAGTGTATCAATTAAAAATGAAGAAGGGCAAAAAACCAATAACTAAATGGTGAAAAAAAATTACCAAATAATAGTTACATCACAACTATTTATAATGTTATTAATTAATTGATATGCTTTCATGTCTATTCTGAATATTTATACTGATATAAAGCTGAGCTAATAGCATGCCAGCACTGGCACACCAACATCTTTGTCTAATCCAGACCCGTTAATTTTGCACATTCTAATCATTTATAACATCAGGAAAAAAGAAGAACCAATCAAAATGGAAAAGGGGACCTAAATCCTTATCCTACCTGGATTGAATGCTCTCATCCTAACTGTTCAGTGGAATAATGCTCTTTTGTGCCTTTGCTAAAAATAGTACTATTTGTTACTGGAGACCTCATATTCATCAGCTATTATTTATAACAGCATCACAATTGGCTAGAACTGACAGAAACATGATGACATAGTCTCATATGTATCACAATGTTTCTGAATATGAAACATTTCTTCTTGAAATCTTCAGTATGAAGCATATAAGTAAAATTCCAACTACATGCGTCCCACCTAAAATACCTCTGAGGAATCTAAGAAGTAAATAAAAGCACATGTTTGTACATGAAAAGAAAAAGTTAATATCACCATCCTATCTGGCTCAAATCCTACATATACATAGGAATATCATGTAGGACATGATCAGGCTGAACCGGAGGAAGGGGTCAAACGTGCCATCCGTCATGAGTCCCTTCATACCCACAAGAGATCTAAGTCCAGCCCAACCTGAATTCCTTCTATTCTTATCTCCTGCTAATTTCCCTTGGCCGTTAGTAGTTCAGATTCTTGTAGAGAGCTCAAGCTTACAATTAATCTTTATACCCATTTGAACTATCTGGATCTCTTGATTTTCCTGGCACTCAACAGATCTGGGCTACAGATTACAACATTTTAATAGATTTATATTTGTTGCTACTATTATACAGAAAGGAGAATTTTGTCAGGGAGAGATTTAGTTTCAGGTGCAGCAATAAAATGCAATTGCTTATCCAAAGGCTTTTTAATGAATGAGGCATACATTCTACAGAATGTCTCAATTTCCTGATAGAGACGATAACTTTTTGACAAGTATTAACCAGTCTGAAATACACTTAAATTGCATTTGGACACTGAAGGGAACAAACATATCTTTGAAAGAGTGATACCTGAAGCTGGGTTTCATAAATAAAATGTATCTACAACTTAAAGTTGATATGTTATCCTGCTAAAAACATGGGATCCCAATTCCATTTTTTTCCTGGTCAAGAAAGAGAATAAGTGATACGTTTTTTGACTGCCTTGTATAGTCAGAACTTCTAAAGGCCAAGACACAAATAACTGTTTTACCATATGCTATCTGTCATGTAGGTCAATCCAACTGATGCAACCATTAGTACAGATCATCCTCTTTTCTCATATCTTTTGTACATTCAGCTGGTATTAAGCAACAAGAAAGTATTTTTTGTTGTGGTTCTTACTCTATGAAATACCCTCCCTCTCGAGATAAAGCTTGTGTCAACCTTATTACAACTGATAAACAAGCTGAAAGCATGAATCTTCACATTTGATGTCTCAAGATGGTATACTTCCACAAGGCCATAGGTTTACACATTCTGGGCTGTTTCAGTCTTCTTATCTGATCAATCTGATTGCAGTTTAAATGTACGTGACATGCATTTTAGTGTTGCAAACTCTTAGGAACACATGGCAAGATAGGCAATATATAAACAATTTAAATACACAGCTAAGTAATATTAGAATAACATTAAGAATATGCCAGGACTAGAATACAATAAAACTACTGAAAAAGTAAGAGTAATATAATACAATCAACCGATGAATTGTGTTGTGCATTTCTGGGTCTGTCTGAGCTCCAGAGACATGAATATGCATATGCAAGCAGGGGTTGAGAGGTGCAAGACAATAATGTTAGTTGCTAAACACATTCTCAGAAGGTATCGAAAATGTAATAGTATAAAAATCTCTTTAACTATCAGATCATGTAATGATGACCTGATCTACCTGAAAAAGAACTATGTTTTTCTTAGAATTTCCTAAATCAGCATATGCTAAATAGGCATCTAGATATTGTCATAGATATTGTAAACGAAAGCTATCTTAGTGTAACTATAATACTCTAGGTTCTTTCTGTTAGGTGTATCCCCCCCAAAATTTCATGGATTTGTTCTTCTTTATGTGTCTAATTACTAAACTGTTTTGATATGCACCTTTGCACAATATTAGATTCCAAGGAGCAACAAGTAATCAGTCACTATCTTTCCACAACTAATATTTGTAGAGCAGCTATAAAACACTGGCACAATTTGTGAGGCTTGATTAATTTAGATTTTTATTTTTTTTATTTACTGTGGTTATGCAAGCTCAATGTACATGACCCAGGAAGTGGGTTAATTCTAGACTCCAGATACATGTGCTGTGAAATATACTTCATATTTACCTCTTGAATTTTTCATATTAAAATGATTTAGCAATAAGCCACTTAGAAGACTAACCATAGTTAAAAATTTAGCTTCTTAGAAAACAAAAATTAGTAGAAAAAGTCAAGGGATTTTTTTTTAAAGAAAAAAGTCTATTTTAAATATACTTCCTCCCTTTGCTTAATAAAGTCATTATTTTTATAATCCACACCTGGTTGAGACTGAAGAAGAACTTTCTTCGAACTCATAGAAAGAAATAGAAACAGAACCATAGAAATTCCAAGAACAACAGGCTTATGCATGTGGAGGGCTTCAACTTCTGAGATAGTTCTACTTCTAACCTCATTTCCTACATCACCTACATCACTCTTGTTCCAACGTGGGACTTTTCAGATAGGCTGTGTCTGCACAGCACACAAGAACTCTCAGCTGTTTCCAAGCTTCTAGGATATCACGGCAGCAACTGAAAACGAGAACTGCGTAGGTACCAACAGTTCCACACAACATAATGATACATTTCTCTGTATCTTTCTCCAGTCTGTCTTTTTTCTACCCAAGCTCCGCCTTAGTTTTAGAAAGGCATCTGTACCTTCAGTGATTGCAGAGAATCTGTGTTTGTATCGCAGTAGAGAATAATGTTGTTGGCCATACTGAAGCTCTCTCGGACTCCCAGGTGATAGAAGAGGGAGGGCTGACGGAAAGCATCGCTCATTTCCACCACGGCAATATCTGCAAGGAAGATCAAAATATATGCTAATCAAGTACAGCACTCAAAAGAGATCTGATGCTAACCTGTTAATTTCTCTCAGTAATTATTTCAGTTAGCAGATACCCTGAAAAGACTATATCAGTAGTGGCAAACCTATGGCACAAGTGCCAGAGGTGGCACTCAGAGCCCTCTCAATGGGCACTCATGCCGTCGTCCCAGACCCACCTCCCCCCCATGGCCCCCTCACCAGCAGCCCCCGGAGTAGAGTCACCCTCGAGCACAGCCAGCGCGGAGCAGCACAGTCAAGGACATGGCAACTAGGCAGCAGGGACAAGACTCCGCCCTGTTCCCTGTTGCACACAGATGATGCTGCGGGGCGCAGGCAGAGGTCTTGGCCACCATGGCGCTGCTGGGCCACCTGGGCAATCTGCAGTGGGCCGTGGAGGCAGTTAGTGGCCCTGCAGGCGGGCAGGGCCAGGCTGGGGGCGGAGCGGGGGCAGGCGGGGCCAGTTTTTGGGCACTCGGTCTCTAAAAGGTTCGCCATCACTGGACTATATCTTGAAAATATTATTTGAAAAACAACTACGACTACAAACCAGAATCAAATGTAGACTTTTTTTTTACTACACAAAGATAACATTTACTACACAAAGATAACCTTTTTCACTATTTTTCTTCAGCAAGATTGTGCTTCAGGGGGATCCACAGTAGGTGAGCAATTCCCATTTAGAATAAAGAGGCAAAGACTGAAATATCAAGTAAGCAGCCCTCAAATGCAGCTTATGTTGAAGCACACGGACAGAGAAGGACCACCGAAATGCAACATTTCATGCTTGTGAATTCAATGTCTGGAGTGGTCTTTCACTGCAATTGGAAATATGTAGCATTTATAGCTTTCCTTTGATGGCCCCATAAGATTCCTGGCACTTCGCCTCATTTGGCTCTAAAGTTGCATAGCTAAATAATCTTCATACAATGTTTCCACGCGGATATAAAACCAAGTATTTTCAAACCCTTTCCACTGCAACGTGTCTACATTTATTTACAATGGTCAATTCTGGGTCATATTGTAACATACATAGATGGTTGACTAAGAGGAACTGCCTGCACCTTTGAGTATAGGGAAGATTCCCCTCAAGTAAAGACTTAGGATGAGATCAATGGTACGAAGAAACTGGGTTTTTGTGAGAATCTTGTTGGTACTAAGGAAAGTCTTCAAAGGAGCACAAATCAATACTTATAAAGTCTTTTTTAACAAACAGTTGCAAAGGGCTTCACATGAGTTCTCTCCTTGATGATTTGGAATGCTCCAGTGCCACCAAATGAGCTTTTTTAAAAAATCAAGATTATGGACAATTCAAAAATTGTTTCATGGACCTCATTAGCTACCCTTTAGGGGAGCGAATTCAGCCTAGCACTGCAGTTGTTTCTAATGAAATTATACCTGCTGTAAAGAAAATTCCATAGAGCTGATTTAGCAATAACCAAGCCATGATTTTTCCATTTTCTACAAGACTTCTTTCTAAATAAGTGCTCCCAAGGAAATAATCTACTATACCTATAAATTTTATCCAATTCTGTTAAACGTGGTTTCCATTATGGATTAAGGACCACGTCTCATGATGAATACATATTTCTACAAGCCAGTATTCCTTAAACTTTTCAAAATCATGCTATACGCACAACAACAGACTTCTTTCTTTTTAGAAATAAAAAGCGAAATGAATGCTGAAATATTTTCCTTATATTTAAAAATGCTATTATAAATCTTAATGCAGTTATGAATTTGGATGTAACAACATATTTCAACAACATTTGTGTAAAACCTGCTTAGAGATGTCAAGTCAGCATAACAGTCAACATTTTCAATGTGGATTAGAGCGAATACTGAAACCCATTTTGCTCCAAAGTATAATGAAACAAAAGCAGCACATTCTGTATCTTTGAAGATATTTGTGGAATACATTCAAATTCAAATTATTCAGGGAATAGTAAAGTTCAGCATAAATATGATTTAAGTTATATTATAAATTAGGCATTGATGTTCACAGGACAGAGATAGAATATATTATCAGGGAGCATTCACGTTCTTGAAGCGCAAAATAAGAGATTATTTCAAAGGCACACAAATCTCTCTTAAAATAATTTATTAAGCAATATCATTTATAAACTTTAAACCAAGGAATTGCTAAGTCCATTGTTTGTCTTAATATAATACAATATATGATAAAATTATAGTGATAATTATGCATTTTCATAAAGACAAAGAGGCTACATCTCAAGCTACAATCAAAGTTAATCAAAATGAAGCTGATATGCTAAAGATACTTTCACTGAAATTTGTCATGCAAGTCATCCAATAATCAAAGAACTGAGTTTTTAACAACACTCACTAAAGGTTCCATCCAATATGAAACCATAAAAGTTACTCTACTGATCTAACTGTATTATTGTTTAAGCTGCCCAAACATGTTTGGCTTTTATAGGACATTTTTTTAATAATAATGCAATCAAGTAAGTTTCTACTTGTGTTTTATTTGGATTCTATATTGGTCTCATTGGCCATCACTGGATGATGAGACAAGCCAGCTGCTCTTACATACTACTGTCCATATTTATTTTATTCCATGTACTTAAAGGAAGGAAGAGGGCTCACCTTTTGACTGCTTGTGCCCCTCCAGCTAGACCTACCTTATTAGCAGGCATTTGAATCACCCTTTCACCCTTCCTCTTTCCAAATATAATATAGGCTTGTGCCATTGCCCCTCCATTCATGGCACTCAGGATAGCTCCAGTGAAGCCTCCTCCCCCCCTTCAGCTGACCCATGAAACTGCCTGCCATTTTGTTGTGGGGAGGGGAAACAAAGCGCCATGGACCACGAAGAAATCCGCATCCCTGCTCCCCATTCTGACATGTTCCCAAGGACTCCCATACTCCAGGGAGCAACTGCCAGCCAGTCCTACCTTGCCAGGAGGGATTTGAATTGCTCCCTCATTCTTCCTTCAGTGGCCACTGCAGTAAGATATTGCAGATTTGGTGCTCATTTCAAAGCAGCCAATGGCCATTCACTCATTACGCCCTGCTGTCAGTTGATTGGGCACAGGGGCCAGAGGGAGGTTGGAAAGAGGGCGAGTATATGCCCCTCATGCCATGCAACCTATTGGTTTCTGGGAAGTGTAGTTGGAAAGTGTGGTGGCACTGAAGCAGCCACAACTTTGCCAAATTTCAGTCCCACAGAAAGATTTAGTAGCATATAGATTGCAAATGGGTTCTCCATGTCATTATTCTCATTAAAAGATTGATATTACAGCATAGGAAAGAAAAACATATGGCTCCATTTATCCAATGGATTGAAGACCTGATTGTACTTGCCTCTTATGAGTAGACTGCCTTTAGACATAGACTTTGTATAGACCAGGGTCTTCAAACTTGGCCCTTTTATTACTTGTGGACTTCAACTCCCAGAATTCCTTAGCCAGCATGCCTGGCTGAGGAATTCTGGGAGTTGAAGTCCATAAGTCATAAAAGGCCAAGTTTGAAGACCCCAGTATAGACAAATATAATGAAAAATGGAATTAATTTATACAGAAATCAATAGGTTAAAAAAAGACAGTTATATCAATGTATTAGAAATATATGCATACTTGAATAATATCTGCATTTACATGCAGTTTATATAGTACTGTAATTGTTCATTTTATGAGATATTATGGTTATTTGTTTGTTGCATTTCTTTCATGTTTTTATTAAAGCATTTTCATATGTTTTTTTTCCTCTTTGAGAAAGTATGTTTTACCATCACTATTATCTTTCTGTTCTGCTCTTTTTCTTGCTATTATTTAAACTCAATAAAAAAGAAATATATATAAAATTAAATGTTGCATTTTATCTGCTGGGCACTCTTAATTCACAAGGTTAAAAGAGAACAATTATTAACAAAATTAAATAATAGACCTTCACAGGTTTTACTGGCTATTCTGCCTAAGCCACAGGATATTTCTGTAAGTATGTGGGAAAATGTGCATTCCATTTCCGGAAGCTTGTCTATGCAAGCCAATAAGTTAGGCTTTTTTTTTTTAAAGTGAAAACTGTGTTTCTAGAGCTGAGTTAGCCTGTGATTGGGGAGCTATGAATTCCAGCCTCACCCATCAATTAGCTTAAACGAATACTATTCAGGCAAAGGGAGACCAACTTGGGTTCTTTCAGTGGGAAGAGAAGAAAGAGCTACAGGGAGATTTATAATTAAGTGCATTGATAAGAAATCAGAAGGTGGGCAGAGGGCTATGGAATTTTAACAGCCTAAAGTAGGCACACTCACAAAATGGCTACTATGCTTGTTGTTGTTAATTGCAAAGTCGTGTCCGACCCATCGCGACCCCATGGACAACATTCCTCCAGGTCTTCCTGTCCTCTACCATCTTCTGGAGTCCATTTAAGCTCACTCCTACTGCTTCAGTGACTCCATCCAGCCACCTCATTCTCTGTCGTCCCCTTCTTCTATTGCTCTCAATATTTCCAGCATTAGGCTCTTCTCCAGTGAGTCCTTCCTTCTCATTAGGTGGCCAAAGTACTTGAGTTTCAACTTCAGGATCTGGCCTTCTAAAGAGCAGTCAGGGTTGATCTCCTCTAGGACTCACCGGTTTCATCGCCTTGCAGTCCAGGGGACTCGCTGGAGCCTTCTCCAGCACCATAGTTCAAAGGCCTCAATTCTCTGACACGCAGCTACTATGCTAGGCACAGCTAGTTATAAACACTTGTTTCTCTGAAGGTGAATTACCCAGTCCATGACCAAATTTAGTTGGCTTAAAAGGTATTTTTTATAAATGAGATGTTTTAGATCTGTATTTAGCATTGCTTTTGTGACTGCACTGTCCAATTTACAGCACTGAAAAATTCAAAGAATAAACTTGGTCTCCTCCAAATGTTTGGAATGTCAGACCATTTCAGATATCATTTAATGTAGCTAAAACCAAAGGGGCAGCAGACTCTTACAACTTTTGTCAAAATGAGGAAAGCCAC